GTTTGGTGCGCATGTGCACAAATTGTATGTATGCACGCAAAGCACACCCACCAAACCACGCCCACCAAACAGATGGTAAACCATTTTAAACCCACCAGTGAAGAAACAGCTTTAGAATGCAAGGGGCCACTTCATCCATTAGCAATGAATGATGGGATATTCAACAATACTTCATAATAGACAACTGCAAACAAAAGACCAATGGATTAATATGTCTAGTAATTAACGTAATATTTTTTGGTGGACAGATGAAAGAAAACCTTAGTGGAAAGCTACAGCAATTTCCAATTTTGGCACAAGTCTTGCCTATATATATATCTGGGTGGCCTTTGGTAATGGTAACTCTTTCTTTAATCTGAGGCACAAAGAGAAGCAGAAACAGAGGTTCTGATGTCAGCCCTTGATAGACTAGGTTAGGAAACAGACATCACAGAAACTATTGGAATTTTTAATGGGCATAATAATACAACCATGAAAACATGATAAGTCTTTCTCCCTTCTTACCTCATACCAAAGAAACAAGTTGGGGAAACTGACAAGATAAGTAAGAGGTAGCAAATGGAATGTGATTATGACATGGCTGTCAAACTCGCAGCCCATGGGCCGAATACATCACACGCTAGCCACACCACCCAACACCCAGTTTAGTGAAAGGGAAAAAAGTTGTGATATGTCACGCGATGCTGCCATGACGACGCAAGTCTGACACCCCTGAGTTATGACAAACATCTTAAAAGGAATCCCCCCGAATTTCAAAAGCTGTAAATGGAATCATTAATGTTAGGAATGAAAGTCACCTCACAGTTATTTGGGTTGGAAATATATAAACTAGGATAGACATTTTAATATTATGTCTTTAAGAGAATGCTAAAACTGTAATTGGGTGTGGTTCCACAAATGGCTATAAGATGGAGCCAGAAACCTGGGTTGTTTAGTCTTAGTGAGTCTCTGTTCCTTCTGTTGGAGAGTGTTGCTGTTCCTCCTAATGACTGTTACTGATCGTTGATGTAAGTCTGTAACTGAACTGTTTTTGATACTGGACTTTGATATTTGGATTATTCCTAAACTGAAAACTGACAGCTTTACCTGTCTTGGACTGCTTATCTTGGACTTTGCTTAAACGTTTATGGGAAGTAAAAAACCTACATTTACTGTACAGTGTATCTCTGTGCTGTGTGTGTGTTATTCTTCACTATTCTCACTACATCTCCCTATATGCACTCATTCTCCTAACGGGGAATTACCTCAACACTCTATAATAAAGTATGATTGAATATACAGTACTTTCTGTTTGGACTATCTTGCAAGGTAGCATATCCAAATTAACTTCTTCCAATCTGTTGGGATTATATACTCTTGACAATATAGTTCCTTTGACCTTCAAAGGTTAAATATTATAAGATACCTAAAGCCATTTTGGAGTCCAGCACCTTCAAAATTTAATAAATAAACAAGCAAGCAAAAGTAAAGAGTTTTGGCTCCTATGTTATTCACTAAGTTGGGGCCATGACAAACTCTAATTCAATAAGATCATATGTGAAAGCTCTTGAATTTCTTCATCTATCATCATTGAGTGAAAAAAAACCCTATCTCTTAATATTTTGTTTCTTCAACAGAATTTTGAGTGAAGTATTTGAACTACATAAAAGAGTTTTAGCAAGACATTCCAACCCAGAGTCAACATATCCCAAAGGGAAAACCTTGACAAGCACATCACATATCAAATCCAATTCTTATAGATACTTTTTATAAGCATAACCACAATTGATTTTTTTCTTTTTTCTTTATAACTTAAAAACATCAAACCATTCAGCAACATCAAATGGTACACTAGATCTTTAAAGCTGTACTGCAGTACAGTTTTGACATTTGGCCTAGCAGCATAAAGCCATTTAAAATTGTTATATATCTGAAAATATCATCATTGCATGATTAGATAATCAGCAATGTATTCTGGTGTACCTATGCATTATATAATATAATGTTTACAAATTAATTCAATCATGTAGGTAATAGACAAAACATTTGTGTGATTGCGGTACAGGCCAGCAGAAAAATCCATACCTTTTGCTAAATGAGTATTAATGGGGTTTATTCACCAAGAGCTAGGAAAAATCATTTCTGGACAAAAATTCAATATAAATTTTGCAGACATAGAAACACTTAAAGAATAACTTCAGAATCTATCATTTATATGTCATATTCTCTATTTCCTGAGCCCTGCTCAGAGCTGTGCTCTCCAGACAGAATAAAGATGAAAGGCTATGAAATTATTAAGATGCCTTGTTATTTTAAATGAATATGTCTAGAAAGAAACAATCATGTGAAAACATTTTTTAATATTTTTCTCTTGCAAATATTCAGACCATTAATATCAAGAGCTTAAATGGTATACAGTCCAGTCCTGTCACAGGTATCAAACATTCATAAATCACATATAAGAAAAAATGATCTTCTGTGCTCCTTGTGCTCAGTCTTATAGTTCTATGAATTACTAGTTTCAGAGGTATTTCCTTACCTAAACAGAGAAATCCAGAATGCTGAGCAAAAAGCAGTGGGAGTGGAAATAGCCTCCAAAGTCTCGCCAACTTCCTTATTGAGTTTCCTTGTGAGAAGCTAATAGTGAGCATCACAAATCAATCCTTCCTTTCTTCTCTCCCCCCCTCCTATCCTTCTTCCTTCTCTTCCTTTTCTTCTTCCCTTCTTCACTGTTCCCTTCCTTCTTTCCTTCCTTCCTTCCTTCCTTCCTTCCTTCCTTCCTTCCTTCCTTCCTTCCTTCCTTCCTTCTTTCCCTCTGTCCCTCCCTACATTCTTTCCTTCTTCCCTTACTTAGTCTCTTCTTTCCTTTTGTAACTATTTGACAGCTTCCTTATTTACTTTGTGAGAAGCTTGCATGGAAAATGTCAATGGAGGAGCTAATAGGAAATTGCAACTCCAAGGTCAGCAGGCAAGTAAGTGGCTGCTGTCAATTGGAGAAGGAACAAAAAGATGTGTAGGGTGAAGATCAGGAATGGTATGTGGGAGTACACAAAATGTGTTGTATGGTTAGGAGGAGAGTTTAGACCAGAGATTACCACACAGGTCAATGAGGGCATGTAGATGGACATCATAGTTCAGGAAATTGACGTGGGGTGTATGAGAGGTGCTCTAGAGGTTGGGTAGGATATGCGGGGGGTGGGCGTGGCATAAATCAAGAAGAATGAATGGGTGTTGCAAGGCTGTGTGATAGGTACCATAGCAATTGGGGTGGTATTGTAGGCAGCATGGATCAAGAAAGGTGTGCAAAATGAATTGGAACTGGATTGGAAAAAGCACATGGAAGGTGACACAGATTGAGGAAGACAGTGGGAGGTTGGCCCAGACTGAGAAAATGTGTAGAGGAGAATGGCATGGGCCAAGAAGGAGTTTCTTCTTCCCTGTTCCTTTCTCTCTTGCTTCCTCTTTCCTTTCCATTTACAGCAGGCAGAGAAATGGCTGCTGCTGAGTGAGGGAGGGAGTGAAGGATTATGAAAGTGGCAAGGAAAGTGTCATAGAACATTTAAAATGAAGAGGACATGACCACAGCAGCAGCTGCTAGCACTGAAGCAGCCACAAATTTCTCAAATTTAGTTACCTTGAGGATTATGGGTCCTGGTTTCTGGACATATTCTGTTAGTTAGCTCATCTGAGGTATCTTGGTTCAAAAAATGTTGTTCTCTGATATACCATTCACCCATTATGATGTCAAGAGTTTTAGGACTATATAGATACACAAACCCATAAAATGTGGGAATTGATATTTCTATTTATTTCCCTGCTAGTTGCTTGAGGGGAAAGTCACCCATAATGTGCTTCATAATCTTAATGGCTTATATTAGCTCAGTCATCCAATATGAATCTTTACTGCTTCTATATTGTTAATGGGTTAAAAAGACTGCAGATGGCATTAGATAGAACACCTTATGGAAAATTACCAGATAAATGACATTATACTTTTTAATTCTAACAACCTTTTATGACTATTTCTCAGAATGGGCTATATCAGGTACATCCTAAATATCTCAGTATAGTGCTTCCTCCAGTACAATCATTAATGTATTTGTGTCAAAGAATACTTTGTAGGAGGAGGATACATTGTAAACTACATTATAGTGTTAATATTTCTGGGACAATGTAATTCACATCAAAGAAAGTGATTTCCAAAAGTAGAAATCACTTTCTACTAAGTAGAAGTAACCAACAAGACTATAGGTTTCTTCTTCTCCACGCAGCAATGATCAAGAGTAGTATACATTCTAATAGTATAAATCTCAATTTTGGAAATTATGTAGAGGTGGGATCTGCATAGTTCAAAGGAAGAACTTATCTGTTTTGGTTGCAGCAAGTGATCAGGTTGCCTTCCTCAGGATATTTAAAACCAGGCTCATGACTATGCAGCCTTTTAGAACAAACTCTACTTTGTTGCAAAAATAATAATACAAAAGGATGTGTGGACCTTGTCCCTTGCATTAAAAGCATTTTTCAATTTTTATTAAATGCCAAACAATTGCTGCTACAGTTTTTCCATGTGAAACTATGAGCATATATTTTTCTCTTTCTGTTTGATGTTGCACTGAAAATATACCCAAGAGAATTTGTTATTGTCTTATGAAACCTGACTTGGTTGTGTGCCACAAACTAGCAACCTGGATTCTGACATCAAAACAAACAACTATAGTCCATTTAGCTTTACTTCTTTTGTGCAAAGGAAAAAGAGAATGAAACAAGAATAAATGGGCCTCACGGCATCAGCAGGCTACTTATCCACAGGAAAGAAAAATAAGTCAGGTATATTGATTTATCATGCCTGAATAATAGTACCTAATGAAAAGGTCTGAAAGTCCAAGCCCTGAGGGAGGGGATATATGGGAATAACATAATAGTTGTTCCTAGCAGTATGTGTAATGTTAAACTGCTGTTTGTTATTGCATTTGAAATGAAGTTTGGATATGTGTCCAAGGAGAATGGAGAAGGGCATGTACCTTTTGGTCAATGCTGTATGCTAGAATCCAGTCTTCTTGCTTAGGATGGAACAGCAGACTCTGGATGTAGAAGCTGAGTCGATATTTTTGATAGGTGGCTCCTTCATCATTACTGATGAGTATACTACTTTCAATCTCAGGGTCACTTAAAAGCATTATCTATTTAAAAAAGGTAGGAAAAGTTGAAGAAAGTTTAATAATCTAATAACAATTGAAAATAGTATCATGCATATATAACACACATTTATGTAAGGTTTTTACAACAGGATTTCTGGCACCAATCGACAATCACACATTAAATGTTAAGCAGGGTTTGGCAATGTATCATCTGCAGGTGCCTGATGAGAAGCCCCACTCTTCAAATATCACTAAAATCTCATGGGAATTAGTTTAAGAGTCTCAAAATGTCAGAAATTCTCATGTGAGAAAACTGAAATCTCATAACATCTCTTTAAAAGATCATGAAGTTTTGATGCTGTTGAGAATGCATAGACACTTGCTATAAAGTAAAGATTGCCAGGCAGAATTGTGTATTAACTTCATTTGAACAGATGAGTACTATTAAAAGAAAGCCAGATGGCATCATTAATTTATTTTTCAAATTTGTAGCCACACACACTCAGCAAAGCCAGACTACTGACTGAGAAAACTAAGACCAACACAACTATTCTTCATTTAGGATACAGGTATCCCCTATGAGATAACCATATATGATTCAAATGTACAGACCTGGCCAACATAATCAGATGAATTTTTATAATTCTGTTTAAAAACAAATCCTTTTGAACTGTAGACATTTTACACACATTAACTCCATACAGCAAAGACAATACAGAGCACCATAAATGTTTTGCCATTATTCCATATAACATTGTTCAAATTAAATAAATATTCAAAACATAGAACTTTACATATGAAAGTGTAGAAGAACTATAGTAAAATGCAATTATAAAAAGAGTGTACACATATCAGTCACTCGTCCCACCTGCAAATGACCAGTTTCAGTCCATTAGAGTAACCAGGGAAGAAAAAAAGATGTAACATATGAACTATTAAATATAGGCATTTGAGACAGTGGAATCCATGGATATGCTAAAGAAATTAAGATATTGTAGAGGAGGAGGAGGAGGAGGAGGAGGAGGAGGAGGAGGAGGAGGAGGAGGAGGAGGAGGAGG